CCATGGGAACCAATAGAATTGTTACAAATCCCCACCAGACATTCACAGTGTGTGGTTGGGGAGTTTGATTAGGGTTATAAAGTTCAATGTGGCTTGGATTTCTGCCTGTGGTATGCTAAATACCATCACTGAGGGCAGTGAACAGTGACATGCATCCCAATTTTTGTCTGGACAGTCTTATTGAAACCATCCGGCTTCATTTCCTGGTGTCCTGGGTATGCAGAGATCACTTCCGCCTTATTTTCACGTTACCTATTTTGACCTAATATTTTAAATTCACTTTAAATCTAATTTGAATCCTCAACTTTAGTGAATAGCTTTGTTTGTATTTATTTTTACTTTTATTGTTAATGTTTACTACTGCAAAATTCTAAAAGTTGTTAGTCCTTTGTTTTTAAATTCTAAAAGTAGCCATCTACCAGTAACAAGACAATGATTTTATTATTGTATTTTGCACCATTGCTGTTGTTTTTTTGTTTTTTTTATTTCTTTCATCGTATTCTAGAGAATGTTTGACAGTATGTCTCCATTTCTTTGTAGGTGTTTTAGGAATATTACAAATTACAAGTCTGGCCCTTTGCTTTTCCTTTATTACACAAACTGCATTACTATAACTATATACATAACTATTTAAAATATTTAAAGAATGTTTAATGTCTACCTAACATTGACACTTGAACGTTGTTTAATATTTTAAATGTTATTATGTAGGTTAATTATTTAAAAAATGAAACGAAAACAAATTTAGATGTAGTATCTAACAAATAAACAAAAAAAACTTGGCATGTGCAGTTGAACATTTACATTCTTTGCATTATGAATACATGCACACAAGCATTAAATAGAAAAGTCATGGCAAAATAATTAAGAGTAAACAATTGATTGGATCTGATGTTTTTGATTTAAAAATCATGTAAAGTGCTTGAATTGTTTTAACAAACAATATTTCCCCCCCCCACCCCACCCAATCACCTACCTAAGCTTTGCATATTTTTCCATTTCTCTTGAAGAGTCGACCATATAGATACAGGGCTGACTCGTCCATAAGGCGGCACAGACGGTCGCGTTAGGGTGCCAGAGCAGGGGGGCACAAGAAAATCTGAATCCGCTGCCTCTGGCTGGAGACTCTGTTTTTGAAATGACCTCACTCTCCATGCAGCCTGCAGCCAGGGAAGTCAACTGGCCTCTCCTTATGATGTCAGGAGGAGCAGAGTGTCTTCCCCAAATCCCCCCCCCCCAGCCCCAAGCCCCCCCTCACTGCCCCATGCCCCCCTCTACAGCCCATTGCCTCTCCCCTCTACAGCCCATGCGCCCACCACATAAAATACACTAAAGAGGGTAAGAAATTCAAAAGGGGGTTACAAGACACACAGGTAAAGACATGTTTTCTTTTCTTTATTTTTTTTAAGGGGGAGGGGCAGCAAAATGCATCTTTGCCTGTGTAGCTAAAAATCATTGCACCGGCCCTGTATATATATATTCAAACGGTTTGCACTCTTGGTAAAACAACAGTTCTTTGGGACTGATGCTGGTCTAACTTAAATATAATATCCAGGATAATGGCCGCACTCAAAGGACTTTATAAAGGCAATACGTTGAAATAATACTTAACGTTTCTAAGTTCATGTTTAAAAAATATAAGTCAGTCGACGTTTCAGACCCACCAAGGGGACTTTTTTCAGGACAAGTATATATTACCCTGTTTCTCAAAACAGATTATTTACCATTTTTGTTTGTATTGCTTTAGATTTATGTTGTACGCTTTAAAAAACAACTACAAGATACAAGATATTTATAATATTCTTTTATATCATTTTTTTCTTGCTCAACTGTTTGATGAGTCTGCCTGTAAAAGTATTCTGGATTCACATAGCTTCATCCTAGTGTTCTATAAATTGACATTACCAAGCTCTCTTTACAGCCAGCTGCATTTATTGCACAAAAAGCATATTGCTGAATTTCTCAGACACAAGGTTATATGCTTGCATGTCATGTAATTATTATTTTTATTGACATCAATGCCCTTTCGGTTCTGCACAATTTCAGGTTACTTGAAACCTAAAGCCAGGCCTTTTATTTGTGGCCAAATCCTTAAATTTGTGTTACTAAGATACAAAGCACTGCTAAGCATTTGGGAGTCTCTTCCCTAAACCTTGAACTGCAGTGAATTGAAAACTGCAAAAATTAGTCAAAAACAGCTGTAAAAAGAAAACAAATTTGTATGAGCTGGGAATCAGTTTCCAACACAACTATTTTGGCTTAAAATTCTCTATTCTGTTGTAAACTTACATAATATTATTCACTATATTTGAATTATGGAGAGCTGACAATGGAATGTTAATGTTAACCCAAAGTAGCTGAAATTGAAAATATTGGAGTAGAAATTGTCTTCCAGCTCTGATATTTCAGCCTAAAAAATGCAGTTCTTTTCCCAATCGTCCCTAGCTCCAAGTTTAGCAAATACATTTACAATTTAAAGGGACACTCCAGACCCCAAAGTGATTCAACCTGCTTTAATGCTTTATATATGAAGAGTTTTTCTGTTTATTTTTTTTTTCATTTCATAAAACATGATGCTTTTAAATCGAAACTGTAACGTTTATAAATTAACCATTTTTAACCTACCTGACAGTCAATCAGACAGCCAGTCCTGTTACATCCTGGGTGCTTAGCTCAGAGGACTTAGGCTCAAGAGAAATTGCCCAGAGCAAAGACTTTTGGGAAGTCTGTGATTGTATAGCTACAGAAAGTCTTGGCTGGGGTAGAAGGGGAAGGATTTTAATGGCTGCAGACAATTTGTTTTTAGGAATACCCCCAATATGCAAACTAAATGCATATATATTTCCACTGGGCATATATCTACTAAATAGTGATTTTTTGTTTTGTATTTAGATAGTAGAGTATCCATTTAATAACTAAATTCTGGTTCCTGTCCACGCCGGTGGAGCTCGCGGGAACCGCGGCCACACACCACGTGGAAGTCTCTTCAGAGCCTGACAGCTCGGGACCCTCCGAGCTCAGCGAGACGTCCTCGCCCTACCCCATGTCGCAGCTGAGGGTTGACCTGTGCGCCATCTCACAGGCAATGTTCACCAAGGCGGACGCAGGGGCTCCCTTAATATCAAGACCTGTCACCATTCACTCTGGATGCCCGGCGGGCACTACGCCCTATTATGAGTCTCCTTCGCAACCACAACCTGATGTACCGGTGTGGCTTCCCCTTCTGCCTACATGCAAGGTCCGGTGAAGCCTGGGCCACCATCAAGACGCCAGAAGATGTGCTGGGGTTCCTCAGGGCCCTTGAGCTACCCCACACGACAGTTCAAAACTGGATCCTACACCCAACCACCCTGCCACCCGGAGAACAACGAGCACGCACACGTCAGCCCCGTGCGCCCCACTCACCTTCTGCCACAGCTGGCCGGGCCACACCACATAGATCAGAGGAATGAGAGCGCTGAGTTTCACCTAGGAGCTGTGAACCAAGTTACCAAGTCACAGGTCTGGGGGTTGTTTGTTGGTTGGGGGGTGCTTCGGGGGGGTGGAGGGTATGTTGGGGACTGCTACCACACTGGTGACATTCAAGCCTACTTTCCGGACCCATGAGTCGGTCCAGTCGTTACACCTATACCCCTATGTACACGCAATTTAGTGGCTATCTGGGGTCTGGGAACCTGCCCCAGGGACACTACTAGGGGTCCAACTACACAACGGTCCTTTCGGGTGGGGTCTCTGGACTTCTAGTTTTGGGTGGCCGGGGCCTCTGGAATGGCTAAGCAAGGTTTGGGGTGGGGCAACAGTCCGCCTGCTGAGGGGAGTCTGGGTGCCGATGGGGGTGTCCCTGACGGGGGTGGCAAGGGGTGTCTCCCTGCCTGGACTGTGTGGGGGGTCTGTACCCCAGGCTGCAAATATTTCTGCTGGCCCCCTGGGGGGGGCCTCGGGGTCAACCACTGGGGCTCCTCTAGGGATGAGCCGAGGTGACCTGCGTGACTCATGGGGGGACGCCCATGGCCCTCTGCCTTGGGGGGATGGTGGTCATGGGAGGGGAGGTTCCCTGAGGGGTCCGGCTTACCTAGACAGGGGTGGAGTGCTGGTACCCTGTGCTCACCTTCACTCACCTGAACAAGACTGCCCATGGGGAGTACGCCCGACCATGACAGTGCTCATCGGTTATTATTTGAATATTAGTTTAAGTTATGCTTTACTCTCCCGCTGCTTCCCCTCTCCCCCGTATTCCTAATTCCTATCTGCACATAACGCCAGACAGCAGTACACCCTAACTGGCCGAGCTGAAAGTTGTACCGCGTTGCAAGTTAATCATTGACAGGAGTGGTGCTAAACTGCGGATGACACACTTGGGACTTTCAGAGTGGGGGTATCTGGAAGTCTAGGTATGCATCACGAGTTGTATAGTATAACACACAGTTACCCGACATCGTGGTGGCCTCCGTCCACCTCTCCCTGACTCTGGCGGGTGCCCCAACACGGAGCCACCCCAACTACACTGTACGTGGATGGACACATGCTACGCCTTCCAGATACCTGTTGGCGACCCGTACCCTGAGGCCAACATATGGGGGGTCTATGGATAACTCACATCCACACCTGATTGATGACATCTGGACCGGGGGTTACACACCGGCTGGGACTACCAGGGTGGGAGACTGAACTGACACGGCTGCAACTAGCACCTGACAATTGGATAAGACAAACTGGGTAAGGGGAATAATCCATCCCTAGGGGAAGCTAACGTGGGAGGAGTGACGAACCTTTGCACGGGCACTGATTGGACTACCATCCTAATATTGGTGGTCCCCAGTGAACCGGGCAGACACGTGTTGTCCATTGGGCACCTAAAGTGCCTACTACATTTGTAAATATTGTACTTTCTATCCTGCTCCCTCGGGGGCTTCCTCCTTTCAACTGTTTCTTTTCCCCTCTTTGTCTACCCCTCCTCTATCCCTCTTCCTTATTCCAACTCATCTCCACAGGTCTGGAACATGGCGCCCCTGGCCTTCGCGTCGCTCCTGCTACACGTCCGCACACTCAACGCGCGGGGCCTCAACGTCCCCGAACGCCGCTCCAGATTGCTGAGGGAACTGTGGTCTTTCCAGACATCGGTTGCAATGATACAGGAGACATACTTCAAGCTGGGTTCAGAAACAGCGCTGAAAGACAGGAGGTTCCCTACTGGCTACTTCACATCACACTCTTCGCTTGATACTCTCTGTATCAAGAAAGCCTTGCGGACTTTACACTTAGTAGACTGCTGGAGGACTCTCCATCCGGAGACAAGGGACTACTCGTATTATTCGGCGGTGCATGGATCGTACACTAGAATAGACTACCTCTTTCTCTCCCAAACTTACTTGACCTTACTACAAGATTCGACCATCGGACACATCGCATGGTCTGACCATGCACCGGTGTCACTCCCCCCTTTTCAAACCAAGGGAGTGAACATGGCGTCTGAACGAGTCATTACTGATGGACGACAAAGTCCGGACCACGGTTCGAGTAACCTTGACTAACTACAAGGAAAACACCCATCCAGACACTGGCCGGACTACTATATGGGAGGCCCACAAAAGTGTGGTCCGAGGGGTTCTCATCTCCATAGGAGCACACAAGAAGAGAGTCGGGGTGGAACGAATACGGAGCATCCTGGACGGGATTGCGACCGTGGAACTAGGAAGGACCTGGTGACACTCATCACTCAACAACACTTCTCCATGCTACAAAAATCCAGGTGATTCTTTTACGAACAATCCAATAAGTGTGGGCGCCTTCTGGCAAAAATGCTCAAAAAACATTGAGAGAACTTCCACATACATAGACTCCGCTTGGGCCCACTCGTCACTCCGAACATCCGTCTGAAATGGCAGAACTATTCCACGCCTACTACACGAAGCTCTATAATATCTCCAAATTTGCGGTACCGGCACTCTCAGCCAGACAGCTCGAGGAGATGGAGGCGTACCTCTCGACCCACGTACACAAGGCAATCTCACTGGACGTGGCATCCACTCTACATCAGGAAATCACCATAGAAAAGCTTCGGGGGCAATTAATTCCTCTAAAACGTAAAGGACACCTGGCCCGAATGGCCTCCCGTTGCAATACTACAAAAAAATTGGAGACCTTCTACCACTGCTGACGGCCTCATTTAACTCACTCTTACAAGACGGCAGACTTGGAAAGGAATCGCTCATGGCTCATATCACCATTCTACCCAAAGAAGGCAAAGATCCTGAACAATGTGCCAGCTATCGACCGATTTCTTTACTCAACTCCGACTGCAAACTGCTTGCCAAGATACAAGCGACCCGTTTGAAGACAATCCTCCCATCTCTGATACATCCAGATCAAAGTGGGTTCATACCGGTAAGGGAAGCGAAGGGCAACTCCTTTAGGCTCCTCAACCTTATGCACTTAGCTACCACTTCGCGCCGTCCCCTGGTCATACTCTCAACAGACGCAGAAAAGGCGTTTGACTGGGTGGACTGGCGATACATGTTTAGCATACTACAGAAGATGGGCTTTGGGGAACCGTTCTGCAAGTGGATCCGGGCTCTTTACTCTGAACCAATGGCTAGAGTGCATGTGAATGGGGGCCTCTCCACACCAGTACAAATTACGAATGGGACACGGCAGGGATGCCTACTCTCCCCCATGCTATTTGCCCTCATGCTGGAGCCTTTTCTATGTACACTTAGATCCAACCCCTCGATCCATGGAATCGTTTTGCGGGGGTGGAGCATAAGGTCTCGGCCTACGCAGACAACCTTTTGTTCTACATAGAGCAACCGCGAATCTCCCTCCCAAAGGAACAAGTCAGAGGTGCTTAATGTCACGGTTCCAACACGAGATCTAGACGACCTAAAGACACACTTTCCCTTTCGCTGGTGCACAGACCGCATCAAATACCTTGGGAACTTACACCTTGGGAACTTACACCAGCTGTACCAACTGACTGCACCACATTTTTCATGGACAGGAGGCATCACTTCAATCAAGATGAATATTCTCCATCGAATCCTATACCTTTTCCAGACCATCCCGAACGACCTTCCACACACCTTTTTCCGATCCCTTAATTCAGCTCTCACAAAATTCATACGTATACGACTCGGTCACCTGATGAGGCCAAAGAGGTAGGGTGACTTAGTCTACCAGACATTGTCGGTTATTACAAAGCCACACACTTGGCGAGAATTGTAGCCTGGCATGAAACTGACTCACAGAGGATCTGGATAATGCTGGAGAGAGATGCTTCCAAGGGAGGTATCCCAGGACACGGCCAAAAAATTGACACGCGAACAACCCTTTATTGGGGCGACTCTGAAGGTTTGGTACCGGACACGCTTTCGGCTCTCCCTAACAACGCTGACCGGCCCGAAGTACCCAGTCACAGGCAACCCAGGGTTTCCAGTTGGACAAGATGTGAGGGCCCTGGGGAGGGGACAACACATACGTCTCTCTGAGCTGCGTAGGGGCCGAGCTCTGATACCACTGTGGGAATTCTTACAAGACTGCGAACCAACTATAATAGAGCAATTTCGGTACCACCAGCTGATCCACTTTCGAGAGTCGGTTGCCCACCAACTACAGCTTACGAGACCTCTGCTCCCTTTCGAGGAGATTTGCTTGAAAGGGGAAGACCTCCATCGTAGTATATCAGTCCTCTACACACTCCTGCAGCAGGAGGATGTGGTCCCTCCTATGAAGTACCAGGTGCATTGGGAAGAGGCATTTCACACCCCGTATACTCCACCCGAATGGGACAAGATGGCCTTGTGCACGGCCCTCAGCTCACGATGTGCCAAATATCAGGAAATCAACTACAAAATACTTACTCAGTGGTACGACACACCACAGAAGATCCATAAATATCAACCAGAAACCCCTGAACACTGCCCATTTTCTGGGCATGCCCACTCATAAAACCATACTGGGAACAAATATACGAGGCAATACAGAAGGTGGCTGAGGAGGAGGTTGCCTTTGACCCGGCAGATATCCTACTCAACAGAAAAGACCTACCCATATCGAGGTATAAGAAAACAGTGTCCCGACACCTCCTAACGGCAGCAAAATTGCTAATCCCAGCATTGTGTCGACAGAAACAGCTGCCGATGTTCCAAGCCTGGCTCCAGAGAGTGGAATAGATCAGACAAGTGGAAGCCGAAATAGCGGCGGTAAATGGAAGGCTGGAGAAACACAAAGAGATCTGGAGGACGTGGACATACTACCTGTGCAACCGGGACGAGTCTGGAAACCAACCCGCCGGGTAAGGGGAGGAGTGGTGGACCTGGGCACGCTCGCGGCATGATGGGCGGGGGCGGCCTGCGGGACCGGGCATTCCAACCCAGCATGTTCCTCACCCCCTTCCCTTCTCTCTATCACTAATTTCACTGTGCTTCTCCCTCTCCCCTCTATCTCTTCCCTCACGTACGTACAGCGGAACTTACCTAATGACCCTAACTAATAGGGTACTTTTCGATATCTCAATCCATGGCTGACACTCTGATAGTGTCAATCTGACCAATGGTACCAGGACGGCATCTCACTCCTCCTTCAGGCACCTAAAGCACAGGGGGTGAGGTACGCCTCAGAGACATAGTGGGGACTCTATCTCAGGGTGCATAAATTGGAGGCAAACATACCATGCACGAACGGGTTAGACAGATCCATAATACCCCTCAGCGGCATATGACATTGAACAGACAATAGGTAGAGAGAACAGATGAGTTAATACATCAGAAGATGGGCTACCCACATGATCCACATTACACCGGGAAACCTGACACACGTTACAAACAAACACAGGGAAAAGGCAGGGGGAGCCCTCTGATGTAGGACAAAGACACAGAGGCTGAAATATAGGACTGTAACACCTCGATACCCCCTAGACCCTCCAAAAGAGGCCCAGTAAACCTTAGCGAATTAGACAACTAGGGATCATGCAAAATGAAGTCCAACCACCAACGCACGTAAATACCCAGCCACCTAACCCCTGATGTGTATGCTTAGATGGGGGTAGCAGCCTGAAGGATGTAGTCACTCGAACTTAGGTACCTTAATGTGTTGTTTAAATGCTATTCTATTTCTACTTTTTGTACCACGTAATACTTTGAAAAATATTCTAATAAACAAAGATTGACAAAAAGAAAAAAATAAATTTTAGTTGCATAAATTGTTATTAGTAAACCTCCTACAATTTCTCAGACCAGCCCCACCCTTGGCCATACCCCCACTCACACGCCTACAATTAAAGTGTTCCTTTTTGTTTACTCGACATGTTGGGAGGTATGTATAACTAGTGCAATATTGTCAGAGTCCAGACAGCAATAGTCCATACCACAGCAACTTAAACCCAAAAAATGAGAATAGGGAAAGTATCCCCACTCTAAGAATAGGTTCTACTGAAAGATGTAGTTGCAAATATGCATTTCCTGTTAACAAACAAATAAAATGGTGTTTATGTAAAAAAAACTAAATTATTTCCATATAGTAAATTTAGATATCCCTTATGAAGAACCATGTTGCAATAAAGGTATTGTATACATTTCCAAATTAAATAAAGAGGCAGAATAATATTAACAATGAACACATTTGTCTCCAAGGGAAGTGAATAAAGATTAACCTATTTATTTTTACAGTGTTCTACTGTATATTTATAAATGACTACATGTTATTTATTGCCCCCAAACTGTCCCAATTTGTGAATAACCTTCCCGATATAAGGCTCTGGTCCTCTCAATTATGTTACCTGGTGTTCCTAGATACAAGCCAGATCTACCCAGAACAGTGTGCCTCATTAGACATGTTAGTGTTAACACCAGAGGGAACTAGGACCATGAAAAAAGTGCCTCAGCAGAGCTTTGTGAATGGTCTGCTCTCAGAGGAGCAAGCCAGGAGGCTGTCAATCAGCTTGGCATACATTCCTTTCCAGGCAGGACCACCTATTTTGAGCATTGCCAAAGACAATGAGATGGCATCACTGGAAGGTCTTTTAGGCTCCCCCTCTCTCTATTCCAAGTATATACCTTCCAGTGCTGGAATGTATCCCGACACACTACAGTTTCACAGTTGATAAATAGATTTATAGTTACATGTTGGGGATATATATGTTAAAGCGATGGTCCTGCCCACCATCTGCCTCCTTGGTGACATCATAAGAATTTACCATTTTTAGCCAATCCAATGCTTTCCCACAGAGAAAGCATTGGATTGGCTAAAATCGCCAAAGAAGCGGGTTGGGGGCAGGGCCAAACACAATTTTGACCAATCAGCACCTATCTGAGTGTTTACATGAAAATACCTGAAGGGAATGAATATACTCATGAGAACAACTACATTCAGCTGTAGTTGTTCTGGTAACTATAGTGTCCCTTTAAATTAAATGGCAGACAAAATAATGCTGACAGATATAAGAGAGGAAAAGAAGGTTTCCACTCTATGAATTATATAGCATCATAGAGTTTTTTTATATAAAAGAGCAATACAAGAGCGGGGTAACATACCCTTA